TCACTGGAGGAATAAGACACATGAATGTCATGATTGTCCCTGGGATGGGACTTCCAGACCCACAGACTGTGTGGAATGGGGGAGAGAGGAGGGCATTAGCCTTGATGGGGATTCAGCTGTTGGCCAAGGCTATCCCACCCTTGAGGGACTCAAGATTGGCCAACGGTTGTTCAACCATTGAAGGACTCAACAGTTGGCCAAAGACTATCCCACCATTAATGGACCAAGCAGTTGGCAAAAGGGGCTGTCCCACCACTAAGGGACACAAGTCATGGTTGGCCAAGGGTTATGCAAAGGTTGTTCCTGCAGCTGGAGAACGGGCAGCAGATCCACGGCATGAAGGGGACACCCTCCTTCCTACAGCAGCTGCAATCAGGATGGGCTGGTTTCTCCATGGTCACCTCCCAGATGGAGATTGACGCTCCTCAGACCATCCTGCAGCCCAGGGGAGCCCAGGGGATCTGCAGAGTGGCTCGGGTTTAGGTGCAGAAAACAGATCATCCCTTCTCCTGGCTTCCCTCCTGAACACCAAACCCGTGGTATGAAGGCACCAGGACTTCACTGGAACATCCCACGAGGTGGTTCCACAAGSAGGGGGAAGATCTGCCAAGTCAGCCAGATGCCTGGGTGCTGACCACACTCAGCTCCTGCAGATAAGACGCCCAGATTGAGTCACTCTTACGTTTTCAGACAAGATGTGCAGATTATTCCGATCCTGGAGTCACCTGAGCCTCCTCCAGGTAAAACTCGACAGGCARCCGGGCTCCAACCGTGCCCTCAGATCTCTTGCGCAAGGAGCTGTGCACAGCAGAAACTCCGACACCAGGGAAAATGTGAACTCGGCAGAAAAAATGGATGGAGGCTGAGCCGGGCTCAGGCTTTGCATCTCCCTCCCAAGAGCACGGAGGTGTTGCAATGACTCCTCAAGCAGCGCTGCAACGCCGTGTAAAATTCGCTGTAAAGTTTAGAAGAAGCAGACTCTTAAAATTAGGCAGTGAAACAGGTGATTAAGCACCAAAACAGGTGACTCTTGCCCCAAGCCAAACCTCAAAGTGCTCCTGGCACARCACCAGCTTTGCACAGGCATTGCCTACTCAGCATCTTTATTTGGGCCAAACCCAGCCACAATCCCAGCTCCTGCACCCTTCAAAGCAGGGAGATACTGCTTTTCCAAGAGCCCACTGCCTTTCCTGCACTTTTCTTCAGTCTACACCTTCCTGACCCACTCTGGGAACACCAACAACTCCCAGAGGCTGTTGTGGGACTCCTGAACCACCACTGACAGCGTTTTCTGMCTCTTTGATCTTTCTGGRTGGTGGAGGAGCCACAGCACAGCTCAGATCAAACACCCCCAACTCCCCTCCTGAGCTTGTCCAAATCTCTCCCTGCTGCTCTCAGAGCCACTGGGGAGTGCATTGGCTTCTCAGGGAGAGGATGGTGCCTGAGCTCACAGGCGGGGATGAATCACACCCTCCCAGCCCGCCGTGTTCCCATGGCTGGTTGGAGATGGTTCATGGCTCTCCCATGTGCCCGGTGCTCTCAGGGAGCTGAGCTGTGCATCCCACCAGTGTGCACCAGTGGCCAGTCCTTGGCCAACATCCTGATCCATTCTTATCCATGTTCACCTGTTCTCACATCCCTCACCACAATCCAAAGTCCATTCAGAGGCAGGAAATTCAGGTGAGACTGATCCAATATCTGTTCCACCTGCTGCTGCTGAGTCCTGTCATCAATCAGCCTCTGTGGGTCTCTACTGCTCTGTCCATGAGCACTGGGAATGKTCCTGTCTAAATCCCAGGACATGCTGTGGGGAGTTCCAACAGAGCCTTCGCAAAGCTTCCAAATCCAAGAGAGATGGAGAAAACCCCTCTCCTAGAGCTTCAGGAATTGGAGTGGTGCCACGTATGGAGAGATGTGACATGGGCACTGAGTCATGGAGTGCCTTTGTGTGCCTAAAGCTGAGCTCCGAATCCTGGGACATAGCAGCCTGTACTTGCTCAGTGACTGGGAGAGGGCTGGACCTCTGTGCTGGAGGCTTCCAGACCCAACAATTGCAGACATCTGCTGTGGGAATGATTACAGGGCTCCAGCGGTGAGCTGAGTGATTCACTGTGTGAGGAGATAGCCTAAAAATTGAGCAGRTTGCTGTATTCCTCAGTTTGGGCTTCTGCTGGCTCATGGCCACTGAGCGTTGTGTGAACTGAGCATCCAGCACCCACCACCCAGACTTGTGGCTTCAGGTRAGAGTCAAAGCCATCAGCTGAGCTGGGATACCTGCCCTGGTCCATCCCCACCATCAAAGCACAGGTTGGGCAAAGAACAACCCCCAGCATCCCAACATACTGCTTTCCCAAGGAATGAACCACCCTGCCCAGAGCAGCTCCCGAAGCACAACAACATCGTGAATGTTCTCTGCAATTTATTGGGAATGGCAACATCCCAGGGAGGGAGGGCAGGACACACACACAGAGGAAAGGCGGTGGGGGCACAGAACAGGAGGAAAGAGGAG